CAGTGCACATGGGTGTGCATATGTCTATTTGTGTGACAGCTCTTATTTCTCTAGGGTATATGTTGTATTTCTTTAAGTAATGTTGGACTTTGTTCTGATATATTGTTATGTTATGTGGAATCTGTTTAATCCTTTCAGATTTTGCTTTCAAGAGTTGTTAGAGCAGGTCCAGAGCAACCTTTAATCCAGGTCTAATTTGGCCCCACTACTAGTGCAGTGAAGGAGCCCTGGTGGCACAGTGGTTAAGTGCTCACCTGCTAACCAGAAGGTCAATGGTTTGAACTCACCAGCCACTCTGCGGAAGAAAGGTGTAACAGTCTGCTCCATAAAGATTTACAGCCTTGGAAACCGTATGGGGCAGTTCTACGCAGCCCTATAGGTTTACTATGAGTTAGAATCGACTCGATGGCACACAACTACAACAATGATAAAGAGAAAACTTTGAAAACATCCAAGTTTACTAATGCAGTACCATCTGCAGACCCTACTTGATACCCCCTCTATTAGCAGGTCTTTCCACTCTGGCTGGTAGAAAACCAAATTATTTGATTTGTGAAGCCCTCCATTAGTTCCACAGTTTGCTCTCCTTTCCAGTTGTTTCTTGCTCCCCTTTCCAGTGGTTCTTTATCCCCAGCCTTGGGTAGTTTCCTCTCCCATATGCACAGATCAGTGTTCAGCAAAAATACTTAAATGAACACCTCTGCAGATCTCCAGTGCTCTCTGTCTGTCAAAACCTTCTCTCCGGTACTCTGCCCCATAAATTCTAGATGCTTTGGCCTGTCCAAATGCTGATCTCTGTGTCCTCAACTTGGCAAGACTGCTAGGTTCTGTTTGAGTTCCTGTTCCTTGCAGTAAACTTTTCCATGTAGTAAGCTAGGGTAATTGTAGGGCCCACCTTGTTTGTTTTCTGTTTTTTTTCAGGGATCAGAGCCCTATACTGCCTGTTGTGCAACGTCTGATAATTGTCATTTCATCTATTTTGTTCAGTTTTCTATTGTTTAAAGTAAGAGAGTAAATTCTGTCTTTGTCATTCCATCATAGCCTGAAGAGAATAAAGTATCACCGAGACATTTTTGATAAAGGTACACACTTTCCCATAGCATTAATTTATGTAGTGAAGTCCACTGAATAGGAGGGGCCTCCACAGAAGGTACCCTGAACCATAAATGGCATCATGTTTTGAACTGTTTTTTCATTAAAAAAATAAAGGTAATTACCAATATTAAAGAAAAAGCACTGGAAAAAGCATAAAAATCTTATACTCTTCCCTTTTTCATACTACCACTGTTTTCATTGTATGTTAGTCCATATATATGCATGTTTTTACATAGTTGTAATCACGGTATCTTTCCATTTTATGTTTTTTCACTTACCATATCGTAAAACAGTTTCCCACTTTTTTCTGTAATTTTCTTGTCTTTTTAAAGACGACATAGTATGTTATTTTTACATATAATTTGCTACATAAATAATTGCTTTAGTTTGAGGCTTTTAGGGCATTTAGAAACAATTGTGTGTTTGAATTTGGTTGCTTAGAAAATAGTGTAAAAGCTTATGGCATTTCCAAAGAAAATGCAGTGATAAGGTCATCTGGGTGTCTGTTCACTAAGGAACAAAGCTGACAGGATGTTACAGCGAAGTTATCCATGGATAGAGTTGAACACCTCTCTGAAAGTGTGGGAAGGGGCGAATGGGGAAAATGCATTTCAATTCTATAAATATTTAGGTTTCTGTCATCAGAGAACTTACGGTCTAGTGGAGGATCTAATGAGAAACTAGTGCACCTAAGGAGATTTCACAATTGAGTTGAAAAAGAAATGTCTGACCTGCTGAAACAATTTTGTCCATTACATGAATAAATTTGCACATATACTGGGCAAAGCCTGAGTTTAGACTGTAGAGCTCTAACTTGGAACTATACTAAGTTCCCCAGCATTAAATCTTATAAATTAGAAAAGCAGCACTCTGATAATGTTTTATTAAGGTTTCCATCTTCTCTTTCATAAGATTGCGTGAATTTATGAAAATGAGGCATTGTGAAAACAGACCCAGAGCAGCCTGATGAGTTTTCTTTTCCCCCGTCACAGCCATTGGCCCCCTCCTTCTGATAGAGCTGCTGCTGTTGCTGTTCTTGCTAGAGGAATCCTGGATCAGGAGTAAATCGTGATGGTGCTCAGATAGGAAGTGTCTATGCAAATCAGTCACACGTTTCTTAGTGTTATTTAGGGAATCTAGGTTCCATTTTACTTCTTTTGAGAAAGTCTCAAGTACGTTTGTTCATTTGTTTGGGAGGCAGTCTATTTAAATTAATTAAAGCTAATGCTTATACGGAGCCCTGGTGGTGCAGTGGTTAAGAGCTACAGCTGCCAACCAAAAGATCAGCAGTTAGAATCCACCAGCTGCTCCTTGGAAACCCTACTGGGCAATTCTACTCTGCCCTAGAGGGTCGCTATGAGTTGGAATTGACTCGACAGCAGTGAGTTTGGTTTTTGGTCACATAGCATCAGAGGTGTAGGGAGGCAGGGTTTGTTCCTGGGTGCAAGTCCAAGGGGGCCGCAGATGAGGCTGGCCATCAGTGAGGCAGGGTGGGTGATGGGGGGCAAACTTAGAGATTGCCCCTGGGTGCTTGTTACCCTCACTACACTTCTGTATAGCATTTACTATATGCTAGGCACTGATCTAAGGACTCTCTATACATTAACTCATTTAATTCTCTCGACAATTATTCCATGTAAGTATTACTATTATTATCTAATAAGTGGCAGGGGCTGGACTTGTACCCTGACAATTGGCTTCAGAGTTCATGCTCTTAGCCACTACTCTACATTAAATACAGGCTCTAAAGTTGGTTCTCTTCAGGTTCAAATCCCAGCTCAATCACTTACAACTTGTGTGAATGACCTAAATCAATTACTTGTCTCCTCTTTGTCTCAGTTTTCTCATCTGTATATTATTGTCTTAGTCATCTAGTGCTGCTTTAACAGAAATACTACAAGTGGATGGCTTTAACAAAAAGAAATTTATTCCCTCACAGTCTAGGAGGCTAGAAGTCTGAATTCAGGGTGCCACCTCTAGGGGAAGGCTTTCTCTGTCTGTCGGCTCTGGAGGAAGGTCTTTGTCATCAATTTCCCTGGTCAAGGAGCTTCTCAGCACAGGGACCCCAGGTCCAAAGGATGCAGCGCTATTCTCCTGACTCTTGTTTCTTGGTGATATGAGGTCCCCCTGTCTCTCTGCTCGCTTCTACTCTTTTATATCTCAGAAGAGAGATTGACTCTGGATACAGCCTAATCTTGTAGATTGAGTCTTGCCTCATTAACATAACTGCCTCTAATCCTGCCTCATTAAAATCATAGAGATAGGATTTACAACATATAAGAAATCATATCAGATAACAAAATGGTGTATAATCACCCAATACTGGGAATCATGGGCTAGCCAAGTTGACACACATTTTTGGGGGGAACTCAATTCAGTCCATAACAACTATATTGCGGATAACCTGACTTTATCCAGTGCCTGGCACATAGTAGATTCTCCACATGTTCAGCTATTATTAGCTATTCATTCATTAAGAAAATATATTTGCAGTGCCATGTGCTTGCTCTTGCAAGGAGCACTTGTGCTGTTTTGTCTCTTTCCTGAAATGGCACAGATACTTGCATGTGTGATTCTGAAGCTTGTAGGCTGATAGAAGATATGTTCAGTTCTTTATTTCCATCATCTCACTTTCTATGGTTGAGTTTGGAAAAGAGATAGAACTTGGCTAGAGAAGAGAAGAAGATTCCTGTTGATTCATGTTGCAGGTCACACAATTAAGTCAGAGGAACTGAAACAGGTAATCCTCTGACTGAAATTTGACTGTCCATCCTGTCTCTGGAAAGGTTACTTGTTCTGTTTGACTGAGCTTGTACCTTTAGGGGAAAGAGATATGTGGAGCAGGAGGGGACATCAACTGAGCCAGCCAGCTCCACTAAATCAGCCCTAGCCAATGATAAATTTGACAGCCAGGTTACCCCTACATCCCCACCTTAGTGTAGATTTTAAATAAGTGTAAAAACTTAACTATGGAACCCTGTTAACAAACTGAACTGAACCCATTGCCGTCGAGTTGATTCTGACTCGTAGTGACCCTACAGGACAGAGTAAAACTGCCCCACAAGGTTTCTAAGGCTGTAATCTTTTTTTTTTTAATATTAGAATATTTACTGTAAGTAATGTTTAGTATAACCATGTCCTGTGTTGTTGTTGTTAGGTGCTGTTGAGTCAGTTGCTACTCATAGCGACTCCATATACAACAGAACGAAACACTGCCCAGTCCTTTGCCATCCTCACAGTTGTTGTTACACTTGAGCCCATTGTTGCATCCACTGTGTGAATCCATCTCATTGAGGGTCTTCCTCTTTTTTGTCTAAGGCTGTAATCTTTATGGAAGTAGACTGCCATATCTTTCTCCTGTGGAGCCGCTGTTGAGTTCAAACTGCTGACCTTTCAGTTAGCATCCGAACACTTAACCACTGTGTCACCAGGGCTCCCTATCTCAGAATAGCACTATTGGAATAACCAAAGAGAGCCTGTGTCAATCTTCTGTTAAAAACATCCTCAGCCTACAGAAAACATAAGGGCTTATAGGATTCTCTCAATTATTTTCACTGGGAGTTCTTTCCTCTAACTTCTTTTCATTTTCTGTCAAACTACTCTACTCTTTCTCCTCCTTGTTTTTTTTTTTTTTCCCTGCTAACAGGGTTCCATGAGGAGCCTTGGTGGCGCAGTGGTTAAGTGTTCAGCTGCTAACCAAAAGGTTGGCAGTTCAAATCCACCAGCTGCTCCTTGGAAACCCTACGGGGCAGTTCTCCTCTGTCCTGTAGGGTCACTCTGAGTCGGAATCGACTCAATGGCAAGGGGTTTTGTTTTTTTTTAAATTCTAAGATATGTCTTCATTCTTCATATTTAGGTTTTATAACAGGGGTCTTGACAAATCTGTGTTCTTTCCTTCCTTACAGTCCTGAGGCTTTCTACCAATGCAGGCCAATGGAAAGAAGCAGCTAGCAAGGTGACCCATGCATTGGTTAATATCAGGTAAGGAATGAGAATTTATCTCTTTCAGAGTTCTCTGGCTCATCTTGAGGTTTATTGTACCCTTTAGGTGGAGTGTGTTGAACACCACTACTATTTTAAGCCCCGGTGTCTGTAGGAGTGGAAGAAATTGTCATATGTCATCCAGAAAAGCAGGAGTGCATGAGATTTTTATTTTGTCATGTTGAAATAGCTCAAAGTGCTGGTGTTCTATGAATTTTCTTACCAAGAGGTGGTCTTTTAAGGCATCTTTGTTGCCAAACTGTTTTTTGTGAATAGGCCATCTGAAAGCTTTTCTCTGACATTTCTTTCTGCTATTTTCCGTAACTTAAAAAATGACTCATGGGGATCTGGAACTTTGACATTTTGCTTTGCATGGCTGTTTCTATTTGTGGTAAACAGAGGCAAAGGGAACCTGTAGGGCTAAGTCATTTTTGCCTCCTTATGAAACAGCAAGGCAATTGCAGAGTGCTGTATGTATTGGATAAGATTGTGTCAGACATGGAGGTAGTCAGGGTCTTGAGGAAACACCACTCACAGAAATGAGCTTTTTGTAGATGGAGAGGAGAAAGTGCTTTCAGTATTATGAAATCTACATCTGACTTCCGTACGTTATTTGCTCCCTTTGTGCCGATGATTTTCTGTTTTCCTCAACAGTTATTAAATTGTTCTTGCAAACAATTGAAAAATAAACGTTGAGAAAAAGAGGCAAACTCAACAGATGCGGAACTTGATTTAGCTCCAGATGTAAGCTTTGCCAGACATTCCCAGTAATAGTAATGCACATTTACAACTTGGTATAGATTCTGATGTGTGACAGAGCTGAGATGCAGTGTTTGTTTCTGTATGTTTTTTTTTTTTTAAAGGTAAAATGTCCTGTTCTTGCAGTGATTTACTACAGTGTTAAAATATCTGGGAACAAAAGGAAAAGTGTGAAATATATGGGGAGTAGGGGAAGAGCTAAAGAGAGCATGGGGCTGAGATATGCTAACAAGATTGCATTGAAGGTTGGTCTGCCTTACCTGTCTCCAGAGACAATTTGCAGCAAAAACAGTTTTATAAATCTCACAAATAAATGCATATCTGCACCTAGCAAATACACCAGATACTGTGCTAAGGTCTTATGATAAATGTGATTTTCTGTGAGAATCAGGAATTACAAACTACTTTCCCCCAAATATCCCTTTGTGACCTAAGGGCAGTATGACAAATGTGGGTATTAGAATGAAGCACCAGATTCTGGGCCACAGTGTGAAGCACATATGGGTATAATTTATGTTGTGTTTATTTATTCATGTATTTACTTAGGCTTTTCAAGCAGCTCCTTTTCATCTGGGGCCTGTTTCCTTGATCACATTCCTTTATGCTTGCTTTATCTCCTATTTTGTTGCTTTTCCTTTCAGTGGTTTCTGGCTTGGCTGCTGTCCTTATTCTTCCCAAGGGGCATCAAACAGCTGATTTAAGCTCTTGTCCTCTCCTTTTTCTGAATAGTCCAGAAAGGACTGGGCTGATCCTTAAACAGATGCCTGTTTCTGTGACCTCTTCTTTTCTCTTTGTAAAACTCTGTCAGTCCTATACCTTAATTTTAATTCCTCAAACTTTTCTGATGAACTTACTCTAGAGAAAGTCACATCATCGTCACTGCTTCCAATAAATTAGACTTGAAGTATATGCTGAAAGTATTAAAGACCTAGTGAGTTTTCTCAAGAGATTACTGGATAGATGTGTTTGAATGCCTCTCATCACACTTAGCTCATATCAGGGAAGAATATTGGTGATGATAAACCTGCAGAGGTTTCCTTTTTTCCTTGGAAGACAGGCCTGGTGATCTGCTTCTGAAAGGTCACAGCCTTGAAAACCCTATGCAACAGTTCTACTCTGCACACGTGGGGTTTCCATGAGTTGGAATTGTCTCAACAGCACCTAACAACAACATTTATTTTCACTTACCAAGTGCCAAACTTTGTGCTGCACTTTGATTTATATTATCTTTTTTAATCATCACAACTCTGTAAAGTAGGTAGTAATGCATACTTTTTAAAAATATGCTTTTGACCAGTGAGGAAACAGAGTCTTAACAACATTGTAAATTGCAGAAGCTGCCACCATTGTTTAGAGTCAAAGCTGAGAGTTAACCACTGGTCTTCTAATTCCAAGTCCAAGGCTCTTTCCTTCATACCACAATGCTTCCTTCTGTAGAGCTGCATCAAAGGCTACCATGGAAGTAAACAGAAAACTCAGCATGATGTATTGAAAAGAAATTTGAGTAAGAGAAATCACATTTTTTAATTTTTGTCTCTACCACTTACTATGTGACGTTGAGCAAGTTACTTCTCTGTGCCTCCTTCCCTCATCTATAAAATGGGGGTGATGGTGATATCAGCCGTTTCACAGGGTGGTGGTTGTGAGGATTATATCATGTATGTTAAAGCATTTAGTAAACCATAAAATACTGGTCAAACATTAGTTTTTGTTATCTTCAGGTTTCATAATATTTCTTAAGGTTAGCGATTTTGTAGTTTGAGCCTTCCTTAGATTTTTTCCTAAGTACCCCTTCATTTTTCCCTTCTATAAAAGTTGAAATGTTATCCTTAATTTAAAAAGATATTTTGCTCTCCTTTGTAGGAGGACCTTGATGGCATTTGGGTGAGGATGGCCTAGGGAGTTTCTTTTTCTCCTCAGTGTCAGCATTCTTTTTGGCTGAGGGCAAAAAGTGGTATACCTGAGAAGTCTGCATTCTACTGGGCCAACAGTAATGAGTGCTGCCATATGATTCTTTGCTTTTCCAAGAACTTGTGTTGTGCATCCATGACACTGTTCACCTTGGTTGGTGTAGAAAACAAGAGCCTGTGTCAGAAAATCTGACCTGTGGGGTCTGCCAGGGATATGTAGCTGTTGACCACCAAGTTGATTATAAAGGATAGAGTATGGAAAGGCCTAGTATTAAAATTGTGATTGCATGCAGCATTTACTTCTGTTGTTTATAAAGATTATTTCTGTTGATCTCATGCCTGGAAAGGATATCTGAGGCACAGTGAACAAACTCTTGGCCACCTCTTCTGTAATATTGTCTTTGATAGCCATGGGAAGGGATTTGGTTGCATGTGAAATTTCCAGATCCCTTGGAGCTGGGAGGGCCTCCCAGAGTGGTTTGCTAGTTGATGATGGCTACAAGTTAAGTCTTTGGGATCTTCTGGGTTATAAGGCTTCTGATGACTGCCCTGACGTACTATCTCTCCAGCCGGTGAAAGGCAACAGAGAGGCTGCAGACCTAAGCTTAGATTGAGACAGTGAAAATTAAAAGATGTTTGGAGGCCTAAATTTGCTTAAGTGTCAGTCTCTTTGCTTTTCACTTGTCTTTCTTGGCTTAGTCATGCCAGTTCTTTAATTGTCAGTTATTTGTGTGTAAACAGTTTGCCTCTCTCTTCCTGTTTGATTCTTCAGCAAGATTCTTAAAATGCTGCTGCTTAGAAACTGGTATTTTTGTTGGAACACCTGATGTCACCAACATAGAGGGCTGTATGTTTTTTTCTCCTCTCAAGAGGATTGTTCCATTGCTTTGCCATAAGAAAAATAAAATATCATTGCCTCACCTTTAAGATTCCAGTGTAAGCATAGTTGTTGCTTCAGCCGCCTCCACAGATCTAATGGTCTGAAAAAGGAGAATACTTTGAGGGATCATATGCAGGGCCTCCACAGATCTAATGGTCTGAAAAAGGAGAATACTTTGAGGGATCATATGCAGGGCAGGAAGGAAAACATTTGGGAAGGTTTGCTTGGAGACTTCTTATGCTAAATGTTTCCTGCCATCACTTAGCTGACTACCTCAGTGAGAACCTGTACTTTAGAAAGATGTCTGCTGACTGCTAACCTAACTTGTCAAAAGAGAAAAATAAAAATGTTAGACTAAAATCCAGCCTTCATCTAACCAAACAACTTTCAAGGTAAGTAATTTGAGGCCCTTAACAAATCTCTACAAGTTAGCATCTTAATGCTTTTTTACTTGATGAGTATTTTATTAGCACCAAGTTCAAAATCCTATTCTGATTGCTCACAGAGAGAAATAATGGCTGAATCACTGCAAATAGGTTTTTCTCCTGATCCGTAATTTTCTTAAGGTAGATAAATAGTTTTAACTCTATGATTAATGATTCACATGATAAATATAACTAATGTCACTGAATTGTACATGTGAACAATGTTGAAAAGGTAAACGATTTGTTCCATATATATTTACCATACAAACACACACAAAAAGGCTTTTTAGATACGGTTAGTGACAAGCCTGGGCTTTGGAATGAGAATTTAGTGCATTTCTGTGTCTTTTAGTTGTTCACCCAGTGAGTTTGCCTACTGCCTTCCCGTTTTCTCCGTGGTCTTTCTGTTCCAACGCTGAGGTGGGGTGTTTTTTTTTTTTTTCTCTCTTCCTGCTTACATACTTATGTAGTTGTTTACCTTCATCCTAAAAAAAAAAATAGAGGGAAAGCTTTTTCTTTTTCTCTGTTTTTTTTTAAATTGTGCTTTAGATGAAGGTTTAGAGAGGAAATTAGTTTCTCATTGAACAATTAATACACATATTATTTAGTAACATTGGTCACCAGCCCTGCTATGTGTCAGCACTCTCCCTTTCTCAATTTTGGGTTCCCCATTTCCAGTTGTCCAGCCTTCCTGTCCTCTCCTGCCTTCTCGTCTCTGCCCCTCGGCTGGTGTGCCCATTTAATCTCATATATATGGTTGAGGTATGTGTATTATTGTTTGTTTTATGGGCCTGTCTAATCTTTGGCTGAAGGGGGAACCTCAGGAGTGACTTCAGTACTGAGTTAAAAGGGTGTCCAGGGGCCATACTCTCAGGGTTTCTCCAGTCTGTGTGAGACCAGTAAGTCTGGTCTTTTTTTGTGAGTTAGAATTTTGTTCTACACTTTTCTCTCACTCTGTCCAGAACCTTTTATTGTGATCCCTGTCAGAGCAGTCGGTGGTGGTAGCTGGGCACTTTCTAGTTGTGC